GGAAGGGAAGGGAAGGGAAGGGAAGGGAAGGGAAGGGAAGGGTTCGGTTCTGCAACCAGAACCAGATTGTAAATCTGATCTGATCTGGCAGGTAATAAAAGTTTTAGTGACTTGCCCTGTGTGGAGGTCCTACCTGCCAGAAAAAAGGAAGAAAGAAATACTTCTCTCATTTATCTAAGAATTAAGAAAGAAAAAAGGGATATGCTCACCAAATTTTTCTTAAGTCTCTGTATTTAAAACATCCATCATAGCTTAGCCCAACCCATTGATTTATTGAGGAACAATCTCCAATGCTCAATATAGTAAGAATTCACTTTCTTTAAATGAAATGTTTAGCAATTCAATTACAATTTTTACACTCTTTTTTCTCATGTTTTCTGTAGGGTCATAAACCATAAACAAACAATAATACTTCAAATTATGTCAAAAGAGCTTATACACCCTTTACAAATATCATTTTTATGATTAATAAATGAACAATCAGAAATCAGTGGCAGTCAAATGGAAAATAATATATTATCTCTTCATTGAATATTATTCTATCAGTATTTGTGTTGAACTCAACATAGAAGTCTTTCTACACACTTTAAAGTAGGGTGTGGCCTGTTCTACCTTTTCACAATTCCACTTTAATCTCTGTTTATTGGCATAGGTGTAAATTTATATTTGTAATTGTTACAATCTTTTTTCTTTCTTCTATAGAGGTGTAGGGCCTCTGAATCTGATATCTGTCGTTATAAATAGTCAAAATTTAGTCATAACCATATAAAGGTGTTCATATGCTGAACTTCAAAAAAAACCGAAGATTAAATCACTCATACAAAAGACTACAGCAGATTAAATACATAATTAGATTCATGTATATAAAGATTAAATAGTTGCAGGAAATGAGATACACAAAGAGATACTAGTATGAGTCTTATGATTTTCCTTCATAATATTATATCATCTTTTTTCTGCACCAACAAATATTAACATTTTCTAATAGTCATCTTCTAACTTGTCTGTTTCAACAGTACAGAACTAAACATTATTTGCTAATTCAACAAATTTTTTTTTTTTTTCATCAGAGGCTATTTATTTCTGTTTAAATGACTTCCTTGGGTCTGGAAACACTTACTGTTCTTTGCATTAGCAGAGGAGAGTCTGTTTCTTCCTCTTTAAAACTTGATTCCATACCGATTAGATCCTCAATAACGTCCTCCATCTAGCAAAATATAATAAATTTAGAATATTGTACATAATGATAATTATGATGCATAAAGTTGTGCGTCAGTTTGAATCAAAGAGACAAATTGTAGCAGTCTTTAAAAGTTTTTTGGACAAATTGAGGTTATATGCATATTACAAGCTAGAATATTTTAGGACAGAAAATGAGGTAATTCTGACACTCTTTAACCTGTTGGTTTTCCTTGCATTTGCTTCCACAGGCTGACAGGTAACACCTGGGCAAAGCACCCCAGGATAGTCCCTTGGAAATCATTATCTACAAAAAGAGTGGTTACCATGAAGTGCCCCAAGCCGGGCAGAGCCCATATACTTATGTGCAGGATGACTCTCTACGCACTTTGCTTTTCTTTTAAAATGTTTGATTACATGTTACAATCAATATCTATGTTCACACTTAGATACAGAATACATGGAAACATAATGTTCTATCTTCTTTAATGACCAGTAATAATACTAGTAATGGCAAAAGCAAAAAGAACAACAAAATAATAGTAACATAGTAACAATAAAGTCAGCACCACAGGTGTCAGGCATCATTCCA